GGATTATAGGGTTTAGGGTTTTAGGGATTATGGGCTTGAGGGTTTAGGGTTTTAGGGATAGACATTGTCTTGACACCTGACATGGCAGGAGTACAGCCCAACATTTATCATCCTGGCTGTTGGTCATGGAGAATAATATATATAGTAGAATTGTGATCTAGTGGTCTAAAGGTGCTCTAGAGAAGAGGACAGCATCGGGCCACGGGCATGTATACAAGGAAGACACACAAAACCATGAAGGCTAGGGTTCAGCACTTAGGGTTTAGGTTTTTGTTACATGGCGCTCCAGAAACCCCAAGGCTATGTTTCGGGACCCTGCGTTAATCACAATCCTTGGGGCTGCATCGAGAGCCTCCCCGGCGGCAGGAGCAAATGGAGAACCAGGCTCATACCCATCATCGTCAAGCTGGGTCAGGAGCTGGGATGCCTCCAGATCAGCTTGCAAACACTTCTTGCAGTCGGGTGAGGTCCCAGGGCTGGCTGCAGCCCCCATTTCCTTCTTTGTTTCCGGCTCGACCATCTCCTCTTTGACGTCCCCAAGACTAACTTTCATGTCCTGCAAGCATATACCCCCTTAGCATCCGTTTAGCAGCTTGGCTATATTGGCAGTAGTCAGTATTACATGGCGAGGGAGAATGATGGCAACGATGATGATGCTAAGGATCATGATGATGATCATATTGATGTTGAGTATGTTATTTTGTTTATTAAGGCTATTCTTAGACATATGATAGTTACTATGTAGCAGATGCACGAGCTATAAGGATATAGAGACATCTCTTTACCTAATGAAAAGGCTTCTTTGTGGCTGTCCTTCAGCATTGCTGAAAGCTCCAGGGGATCTTCAGGCAGGGATTGCAACAACTGCTCTGCATCCATTGCTGCCAAAGCAGATCTGAAGGAGCTGCATGACCACTGGCGGCTCTGAAGCCGCACTTTTTCATGTTTAGCTGACATGATTCAGGTGAAACAGAGCACAAGGCTCTCCAAGGAAACAAAACAAACAGCTTGAGGAAGCACACCGGCAGAGAAGCGGCAACGTGGGATGTCAAAGTGGGTCTTGCCGGTGTTCAAACCCATGGCCCCAAAACCGTTCAAAATGCACGCCTAAAAACGGGCGTTGCACGGATTACGCACGCATTCTGAACGGGCGTTTCTCGGCGTTTAAAACTAAGCGTTTATTTCTAGGCGTTCGGCACGCATGAACACGGGCGTTGCACGCATGTTTCTAAGCGTTGCACGCATGTTTCTGGGCGTGCACGGGTGTTTCTCGGCGTTCAAGCGCTCAAATCCTTAAAAGTGGCCCAAAATGGCTTTAAAATGGTCCAAAAGCACCCCCCAAATCCCTTCTAGGATGGTCGAGGAGGGCTGAGGATTGAACCGACGACCAGGTTTCCAGGTTCCGGGGCTGTTCTTTTTTTCTGGACATACAAACTTTGCATAAGGGGCAGCACAGACACAGCTCAGGGGCCACTTGAAGACAGGCAACCAGGTCGGTCCCTGTTTTCACTCTTAAGCCAGCAATGCAAAGCTCTAGCTTTACAGCTCTCTTGGCAGATGCGGTTTCCACTCCGGTGGAACTTCTAGATCTCTGGCACCATATAAGTACTGCACAAGCTCTTTCATCAGAGCACCATCCCAGAAATCACCCCATTCCCAAGAAATCCACATCTGAATGGGGTCCACTCCCTCTTCCGGGTCCGTAGTCTTTGGGCAAGCAGCAAGGAGGCGAGAGCATTCTTCAGCGATCTTGTCACCAAACTCCGGAGTATACTGCCTCAGCCAGGGAAAACATGTAGAGTTCAGTTTCTGCCAAACCGCACACAGACACACATCTGCATTCTGAGAAGTCTTCAGAAAGCAAGGGTCTAAGATATGTCAAGTGCCTCAGCACCGGACTGTGTCATCTTCAATGTCTCATTGCCTTGGAACTTCTTCTTTCCCCAAGCATCCCGGTAGCGTTGCACAGGAGCTGCGAGGCCACATGGGTTTCGCTCCTGCTCCCGGGCCTGGACCTGAGATCGCACAAGCCGACGGGTCCAAAAGCCCTGGATTGCTCTGCTTGGTGACCATATCATGGTTGGTTTCGCTGTCCGAGATCCGTAGTGCCACATCCAGAATCTGCATTTGTACACCTGATCACAAAGGGTTCTTCAAGAAACAGCCAATGCCATAAAGACATGCATGCCTTATTGGAGTTGCAGCTGAGACATGTAATTGGGACCCAGGAGCTGTCATAAGACTGCACAGATGTTGCAGTGCACCGGTCTCAAAGATTAATGAAGAAACTGGCTGCTCGATCACCCAGCATCCATCAAATGCCATGGTGCCCAGGCACAGAAGAGCCACCCTGCCAGGCGAGCGGGTTCCAGGTCTACTCTTACAGTGCCCCTAAGCCCTAAACCCTAAAACCTTATGTATACATAATCTAAGACCAAGGGCTTGTAGTAGTTCTTTGGGGTTCACTTTTACATCTTGACTGTAAGCTTTCGGTGAGGCTTGGGCTTTTGCTTGTTTAGGCAAGTAAAGGGTATAGATTTTGTGCGGTTTCGGGGTTTGGTGCCTTAAGTTTACAGAGCCTTAAGTTGTGGCATAAAGCAGAAGAGAAAGTACAGGTAATCAGTCTTATATAGCTGCCGGGGTTGGGACTAGGCAGCATACATCTCAGACGGTCTTATTTTTCTTCAAGAGCCTTAAGCATCTGCAGAGGTCAGGCCACCCCTTCAAAGCCAAACACCTCACCCTTGGAACCAATCTAGACTAATCCTAAGACCTGTCGCCTCAACCCTGGATCCACTTTGTTCTACGTAGAACTATCCAAAAGACATAGGAGTCCCACACAGACTCAGCCACGGAGCTTCTATCAGGAATATAGACATTTAGTACAAGGTCAACTCATTCTCTCTATTGGGTCTTCTGGGTTTGCCACACAAACAGCTGGGGAGGTTTGCCACAGAAACTGTTCCCTAAGCCAAACTGCACAAAAGCAGCTAAGGAAGTTAAATTGCATATAATTAAGATCTTTCTTTCTTGGTGGCGGCAGCTGGAATTGAGAGTTGGCTTGCATGCAGTACTTCCCAGCGGTGCCAGAGAAGCTCGACGCCTTCCCCAGAGAGCTTGACTCGATGGGAGTCGCTGGCCAGTACACTGCTCTCCTACTGAAGAGTTGGGCTCCCGCGCTCAGCTCAGAGCAGCACTCGTCGACGAGACTGGCTCAGGTTTGGCAATGGTCGACCCGGCCATGTTGGATCTGCTCCAGATCCGGGCCGTGGGGCACAATCCCCTTCTTCTCCGGGAGTTGAAGAATGTGGGTTCGACCAACCGATTGCACACCTTGCAACCGACCTCGAGCACTCCTTTAAGGGTTTAGTGTTCGGGATCTTGCACCGACCGGGCCAGTATGACACCTGTACAACCCCCCATTTCGGTTTAGGTTGGCTGGTACGAGATTCCCAATATTTGGGTTTTGCCGTATCTCGCTCCTTCTGGAGCAATGTGGCACTAACTGTTTGATCGTTTTAGGAAGTCAGCTAACTGGGTTAGAGGTTGTTGCTGTCAGCCCTACTGAACATTAAGCTCCCCATTATTCTGAGCCCTCATCCTGTCCTTGTTGGAACCCTTGAGAATAAATGTAGTCTTCGGGGCCAATCATCCAAGCAGGCTCCAAAGTTGATTCCCTAGATGCCTGAGCCATTGCTTAAGTAATAACCACCCTGCAGAAGCAGTCGCGTGATGGAAGTGGGACCCGTCCTGTAAACCCTAGACCCATAAACCTCTAAACAGTAAGCCAATAAAGCCTAAACTATTTCTGCTGATTGAAGCCTCTCGGGCCCCTTAGGTTTTAGAAACCCTAAGCCCCAACCAGCTAAGGCAACCGGAGGAAATAGAAGCACATATAATATATTATATATATATATAATAATAATATAATTGATATAGTATGTGTGTGTACATTCGTTGGATTGCCTACTAGTCTCTTTATGTGTCAGTCGAGGATATATACATATATATGGACATCGATCTATTGTGGGTGCAGTCCAATACTGTGCCAGATTCAAACCTCTATGTGTTCAGCTTCAATGTGTATGCATAAATAGGTAACTACTCAAGCAGAGACCAGCAGGAGCTTTACCACAACCTCACAGTGCCTGGTTTAGAGAAGCTTCTCGGTTTATATGTATACATAAAATACATAGTGTCTATTATATTATCTATATATATATATACATATCTGCTTCGGTGCTGCCGAGCTTACCACAGACAGTGCTCAGGGCTTTAGGGTCTACAATGCTTCTGGTTGCAGGAAGTTTCAGGTTCAGTGCCATTTTCTTGAGTGGGTGCTGGAGCTTTAGATTTACTAGAGTGGTTTGTGGATTAATGTGAAGACAACAAGGATATGGGAAGCTCTAGCTGCATGTTCTGGATTCAAACCCACCACTGGGATTGATCTATTGGCTTGGGGGGTTCTAGCTTAGCTTTCAAATCCCAAGGTTGAGTCAACATAAATCCTTAAAGAAATCTTGTCTTGATCCTGATCTAACACGTATCTAAGCATCAGAGCAACAACACCAGACAGTCCACACCCAATCCTCGTCAAGATATAGCAAATGTGTAGCAAGCAACGGCTTCTTTCGTTGTTCTGCCTAGTGACACGGACTAGAACAGAAATGAATGGCTAGGCCACTTCGTAATTAATACTGAACCTAGATGCCATTAAGCTATTCTTGTGCTACTGGCTAGACACAATGATGTAGGCAGATGATCAGGATATATCAGTTGGCCTTCGAGGTATAATTGAGGAAATACAACTTTATGGTTTAGGTGCTAATCCATGGGTCATGGTCTCAAAGGGATGATGGCAGCGTAAGACTCAGAAAGGGTTGTAGTGTTTACATTTGTGTGCACAGTTACCATATTTCCTTGGGACCTAGAATAGTCCATTACATCCTGTATCAGACAAGAATACATGCTTCCTACGACAGTGAAGCCAAACAGGACATATGCATAGACATTGCGTCTCTGCATGAATAGAGACACCAGAATCAAAAGGAGGCTAGGCTTTGGCTTCCTGCTGGCAAGAACACGAAGCTGAGAGAGTCTGTACTTAGGAGTCCTTGTAAGAGTCCTTGTTAAGTGCGGGGTCAAAGCCAACTAGAGAACACTGCTGCAGAATGAGACTATATGTTTGTTTTGGCTGCATATCTCCTCTAGATGTAGAGACATATTTTGCAATAAGACACAGTGTTGTTTACACAGGTAGAACAAACACCAGATTGCACCCATAACGATCCAAAGCTACACAAAAGAAGCATGACTCGGCAACTACTCTCAGGTGTCCTATGCCATGGGACAACAGCCGAAGAATATGTCCAGGCCGGCTTACTTTTGGGGGTCAGCATGTTTAGGGTTTAGAGTTTAGGGTTTAGGGTTAGGGTACCTTTCTCAAAGCCAGAGACCCCCAACCCAGCCTGGCTGTCATGATATTGGCCTGCCGAACCTTGAAAAGGCTCGTGTCTCCTTCCGGATTACCCAAGCTGCGCCCAGAGGATCCTCTGCTGGTAAGGATAAAGGATGAACAGACCACGCCCAGCCAATGTAAGAAGCCTCCCCTGCATCCTCGCAAAATAGCAGTCATGGATGCCCTTAGTCATGACAAACATTAGCACATGTCAGTAGCTGAGCAGCCCTAGAGGGTCACAACTCACATTGATCAACATGTGCTTTCAATGAAGCTTTGAACAAGGCACGCCATGCCACTGCTTCGTGTGATATCCATGGATGAAGTATATATGACATCCATTGCAATGCTTTGCTTCCCTGGGAATGCTCTCTTCATTGCATTCGTTGCTGCTGCAGCACCAGCAAAGGACTCGATGAAGTGGTAGGAATACACCTGATGCATGTTGGGAATGCTTTTGTTTTCAAGTGAAGTCTAAGCAGGTGTGGATCCAAGCTAGCTATATGCCAGGCAGTTCTCACCTATACCTAGTGTTATGCATGGTTCGGAATACCATGCACTGCTGATGATTCTCAGATCTAGGCAGAACTCTAAAACCTCAACCCTTGTAGATGGGTTCACATGCATACAGGATTTTCTTTAACTACATTACACCAGACATGGGTGAAACAATGGCATGCATCGATGTACCTGGAATTTAGCATAGGTCTAAGCGCTTGCCATAGGCTCCCAGGGCTACTGCCTATACATATCTATGTCCTCTTTTCCTCACACCCATACACATGTATAAGGAAGCATTGCACACCCTAGATTTGAAAAAAAACATATTCATAATATGACTAGGAATATATAGCAAAAGCGACGGTTTGTAATATGTATATATATATATATTATATACATAAATAATATATTATATACAGACACACTTTAGCACACATATAAAATGATAGCCCCATCATGTACTATACTTCCAGCAAGTTCATGGTGTGGCATAAGGACTTTCTGCTAACAGACAACATAGACAAAGACATTACATAAGCATAGTCTCTAAGTACATCTACATAGATATCGCATATACTCTCAGTGTGACTTTCATAAGCATGAACCTGAAGCATCATTCCTCGACACAGCAACCAACCAACCCGTTTTTGTTTAACTATATTGTCCCAAGCATTGAGCCTCCTCGTTCAGGTCCACTGCTTCATTCCAGAGAATCAGCAGAAAGGCAAAGGCCAGCACCTGATGCTTCACATGACATCATCGAGACATGGCAATGTTAGGGTTTAGGGTTTAGGCCCTGGGGGAACAACTGATTGCAGAGAGCTTAGAAGCATTGTAACCATCATGCCCATGAGGGAAAGAAGACCATTAGCAGCTGAAGCACCTTGGGGGCACCCACACTACGAAGGCGATGTATGATCCGAGCTTCCGTCCAGGGTGCCATGGCAACAGATGCTAGCAATGCTTTGTAGAGATTTGAAATATATATATATATTTATTTATTTATTTAATTTTTTATTTATATTTATGGGTATATTGGAAGTCATGGAGTCAGGCAGGCTCAGACAAGCCAAAGAGACTCATGCAGCAATTTATGCTTGCCCCTGTGCTTCGGAACATTCCTGGCATCATGTGCACACAAGCTCAGCACTTAAGCCACCTGAAGAAGCTCGGCAACACTGCTGCTTGCAAATTGTGCAGCCTGTGCACACTCACCACTGAAGCTGCTTCGTTGCACATGACAGTCTCCCCAGAACACTCTTCAAAACAGGCCGCAGTTGCCAGCACTGGAAGAAGAACATTCCAGGAGGCCGGCTTTGATAGCTTTGCGTTTTCCACGAAGAGATTTCAGAACCTGCGCGTGGCCACATCTTCGGTTGGGCTACAGATCTTAATTGCTAAATAGCCTTAAGGTCCTTGGCATCATGTAAGCTGAAGCAGATCACTAGCACAGGGTTGGAGTCTGTAATCTGTGATGCAACTGTTTCAGCCGCCCGCATCTCTCTCAGCCCAGAAACATAAAGCTGCGCAGACTCTGTTGGTCCTGAAACTTGCCCCACTGCACCGGTTGTCTTCGAAAGCACAAGTTGTGTCTGTACTATAGTCATGTGTGTTCTAATTTCGGAGAATATACAGGTTAGGGCCCTGGCAGCAAGATTATGATTGGAAGGTCATATATACGAACACCAGCAGGGAAGCTAGGAGACACAAACAGAAAGCCCCTAAACCCTAAACTTTGGCCCTAAACCCCGATGCTAAACTAATAAGCACACATGTATTTATATATGTGTGTCTGTGTGATGTCTCTTCCCTATGGCAGACAAAGGCAACCAGTGTGCACCCCAGACCCCGGCCATGGCCAGCAAATTGCTGCCAATGGTCAAAAGAAAATCGTAATATCCATGACCACAAACGGCCACAGGTTCAGACATCATCCTTGCCAAGCTGGGCCAAGCTTGGAGGCTGAGCGAAGCAACAGTTGATGCTTATGTCATGCTAGGCTTGCATTGCTAATCATAAAGGTTTAATAAGGCTCCAGCACAAGTAAAGTCGATCAAGCCTTGCACTCGGACAATTCCTGCTTGTGCTGCTCCACTGCAGCCTGAATATAGCCCCATGGCTCGTTCTCAAAGTCCCTCCATCGGCGCATGTTAAGTTGCACCAAGTCATAGAAGCGGTACTGCACAGGGATGAAGGGTAGCTTGGCAAGCTACTTAACGACAAGGAAGGCATTCATTAGATCAGAGCTCTGGTTGCACTCGAAGACATGCTGGTATCTACCACCAAATGGAAAGTATGTTTCGGTCCTGAGCAACACCTTGGCCCCTGGAAGAAGTGTAAGGGAGGATGTGGTCATTGTAGGCCTGCACAGTCTTGGCATACTTAGCCAAGCCCGTCTTGCTTGACGGCCGAGCTCGCCGTGCAAAGATGTTCGGCAAGGTCTCTGGATCCGGCACCAAATCATTCTCAGGGAAGGCAACAGGGGGTTTAGGCATGGGGTCCTTGGGTCCATCCTCCTGGTCCTGCACCGGCTCATCCAAACGCCCTGCACTAACAAAGGCTGCTGCAGCCGGTCGCTTCATAGATTTCGTCTTAGGCTTCGGGGCAACCTTTGCAGTAGCCTTGGCCTGCGCTTTTTCGGAATCCTTCGCCTTTGCTTTTCCTTTGGCCTTAGCCTTTGCTTTTCCTTGGGCCTTAGCCTTTGCCTTTCCTTTGCCCTTGCCTTTTCCCTCGGCACGCGCATCCTGCACCAATCGCATTTGCAAATCTTTGGTGGCCACCGGGTCCTGACAGGGACAAACAAGCATGCGATTATCTATATACTAAATGTAACATAGTACAGTGTAGTTTAAGCTGGCACAACATAACCGGTAATATAGTATACAACTATAGTACCAAATTATCTAGCAAAGTGAAATAGCACATGCCAGAACACGTATCTAGAATATGATACAGGTAAGAAGAACCTTGAAAACAATCGTAATAAACATATGTAGACGGATAATTAGACTTATTCTTAAGAAAAAACGGGGTAAAGGGGTTTAGGGTTTAGGGTTTAGGCAGCAGTTGGGGTTAGGCAGCAGAACAGAAACGTCACAGCATTGGGAACATGAGTGGTTGCATGTCTTTGGTTTCTAGACAATGTGGTTGGGGTTGATGTACCACTGGCTGAGGCTAGGCTTCTGTCGGATGATGAGGCCAATGCGGTGACAATTCAATATATGTATACTCTGGGTTCCTAGCGGTCGGGGTCCAACGGTCCATGTGTTATGTTTGCTTATGTCTCTCTCTCTCTCTCTCTCCATCCTGCTGTCTGCCTCGTGCATGGAAAAAAAGGCCCCAAAAACAAGCTTGACCCAGAACATGCATATCTAAGCAACCCACATAGCATACACTGGAGTGGTATGGGACATGGTGTGTGCGGCTCCGGCCTCCATTGGGGAATCTGCAACCTGATTCTCGGCAGCCTTGGCCCCCCCTTTTGGGGAATCTGCAACCTGATTCTCGGCAGCCTTGGCCTCCTGAAACTCGTTTGGCACGAAGGTGTCCACCACATCCGGATTCACACCTAGCAGCCAAGGGGTCTGGTTGTTGATGTGACATGGTGGACAAGAGGTGATGAGCTTATCTTTGGCCCAGGTCTAAGAACCCACAGGTAAAACAAATCATGTTTCATAGTGACTGTAGGGTTTAAGGTTTAGGGTTGAAGTTTAGGGTTCACAAACTTTTTGGTGTTTAGCATGTTTGCAACGATATATATAAGAATATAAAAATATATTATATGTAGTTATGACTATGACTGTATAATATTTAGCAGTCAGGTAGTTATATACTATATAAGAGAGAGAGAGAGAGAGAGAGAGCATGTGTATATTTATATATAATCTATATATATACACCCAATATAACATCCCAGTAATACTATATATATATACATTAAATCATAAGCATTTGTTGATGCAAGCCATTGACCCGGCCTTCTAGTCATTGTCTCAAGACAGAATAGTGCTATGGGCACATGACACCCGAAGCTATATGATAAGCAGGCTCACCCCATGACATTATGATGTCCCCATACAAACCATCTCCATCCCTGAAGAGGCACATAATGCAGCACAGACAGGCAATGTGAACGTTTAGCATTTTGGCTGTATACCCCCAATAATCAATCCTCATCAGCAATGAAGCTTCAACTGATTTTACACTTGCACATGGTGAGTCCAACAGCAAGTTTAAACAGCATAGCCGCATAAGATGGCCTTCGTAATACAGCGTGTGCGCCGAGCTCTTTGCAGGCGACACACCTTGGCCATCCACTCCAGCAGAGGATGAAGGCAATGCATCCCTGTTCCTTGCCAGAACATGGGTTGCTCCATTGGCTTTCAGTGGCTATGGGACTAAAGACGAGTTATAATTTCCCCATAAGGATTCCCAGGGGTACATAGATGATATATTAAGTCACTAAGTTAGAAACAAAAGAAACCAATCACACCCGGGATTCGTGAAGTCATTCAAGCCCTGCAGCTTCTGCTTGCAAAGCTGGATGAACAGAAGCTTCTGCTTGGGCGAGAGCCTATCTGAAATGCCGTCCTGAAACCCCTTTGGCTTGCCACTGGGCTTTGCTTCCAGGGGGGGCAGACGTGCAATCTTGGGTCGTGCAGGGTTTTCGGGCGTCGGGGTGGAATCCACAGAGAGAACCCCAGGGCTTGAGCTGACTTCAGCTGGGCTAGCCAGTGCCAGCTGCTCTTGCTCCGGGCTTGCACATGACTTCTTAGATGCATTGAAGATGTTCTGGTAGGCAGGCTCCATGATCTCCTCGACTTGCTCCTGTGTGTAGGCCAAGTTATAATCATGAATGGTGGGGATGGATGACACTAGGCTATCCTCATCTTGCGACGGCTCCATGCTTGCAATCATATCGGGGAGAGTCTTCCAATCGGCATCATCATTGCCTGCTTCGGATTCCAGCCCACCCGCCATGGTCACATATGCATCGGCTGCAAGATCCGGCTTTGCAAGATCCGGTTCGGCTGCTAGATCCGGTTCGGCTGCTAGATCCGGTTCGGCTGCAAGATCCGGTTCGGCTGCTTTATTCGGTTCGGCTGCTTCATTCGGCTCGGCTGCTTCATCCGGCTCGGCTGCTTCATCCGGCTCGGCTGCTTCACTCGGCTCGGCTGCTTCATCGGAACCATCATCTGCTGCCTCGCTGGCAGCATCCTCAGCAGGCGCCGGCGCACCAGCACCACCCTGCTCCTGCAGCACTGCAACCCTGAAAACAACAACCTTTTTTTTTTACACTACAACCTCTATTACTCATCACCCCCCGGAGCCCCTGAACTAAATCAACCTTGTATCTTTAGAAAACCATTGCATGTGTGAACTCGAAGTGCCTTCTTCTGGCAAACGTAGACCGCTCTGAAGATTTTGAAGATGCTGAGCAAATTCTTGTCCTGGGCACACAATGGTGTGTAAACCCTAAACCTATACATTATATATTTTGCAGTAACTCCAATTCAAGTAGTGCACTTAAGTAGGGGATTAAGGCATTCTGGGGATCTAGGGTTTGGGATTTTGACTGTCTCAGGTGTAAGCTCTAAGAGCCCCCAATGTCAGATAATGCAAAAGTATAGAAACATAGTCTGTATACATCCAAAGATCACGGGGATGCTCATCTCTCATGGCCTTCGGTCTGAAGAGGGTCAGAAGCTTGTGTAGCGTCCAGCCATCTTTAAAGGCCCATGATTTTGCATCAAAGCCCTCAACTGACTCATAAGCCGCTTTGTTCTTGGTGTACCATCCATGCAGCATCAACATGATCACTTCGACAGGGTCTGCACTCAGCCGCTTCCGGGTGGCCATGTTTTTAGCCACGTGAAACAGCACATGGTGATTCCTTGCAGCATTCGGCAAACAGATGCTGACATCAGATTTTCCTTGGCGATCCTGAAGAAGCCGCTGCTTTGAAAGTGCAGTGGCCCGAAGTGCTTCTTCACTGTCCCAGCCCTTAATCACTTCTGTGATGTCGTCCTTCTTAGCTACTGGGCCATCTTTGAAGACCTTTCGCGGCATGGCACTCTACTGTAGAGGAAGCCCTAAGCCCCGGCCCAAAGCTTGAATACAAAATCGATCCTGAATGGCAGAAACACACACATAGCAATCATTCCTGTCTTGCAACGACCAGAATACAACCCGGACGGGGGGTGGGCGCACCTTCCTGTCGTCGTCTTCCGAGGCCATCTTTGCCAGAACCACCCTCCGTCACTGGCAGCCGCCACCGAGATGGCTGGTTGGAGTGGCTAAGGGCCTATGGAGTGGCTAAGGGCCTATACGGTTCAGGGTTTAGGGTAGGGCTTAGGGCTTAGGGTTCAGGGTATGGGTTTGAAGAGTGAGAGGTGCATAGCTTCCAGGGCCTATACGGTTCAGGGTTTAGGGCTCAGGGTTTAGGGTATCGGTTTGAAGAGCGAGAGGTTTATAGCTTCCAGGGCCTGTACGGTTCAGGGTTTAGGGCTTAGGGTTTAGGGTATGGGTTTGAAGAGTGAGAGGTATATAGCTTCCAGGGCCTATACGGTTCAGGGTTTAGGGCTTAGGGTTTTGAAGGGTGAGAGGTATATAGCTAAGGACAGAAATCTAGAGAATAAGTATCCCCAAACCTATGGTATCTTCTAAGGTCACACTAGCAGGCATCATAATATGATGCAGGTCTTCTGACATGTCAATATGAGGCTGCCTATAAGCTAGCAACTGCCACTACAGGGATGCTACTGTTGACGTAAAAGCTCAATGTATTAAGTCGACATGAGCCCCCTCCTTCTTCAAAGCATGAGGTCTGAGCAAGCGGCCGCAAGTGGCCTCACATTTCAAGGATATATACAGCAAGCGGCCGCAAGTGGCCTCACATTTCAATGATATATACGACTGATTATGGGATTTCTAAGCGTTTGGGCATTTCTAAGCGTGTGAACCAAAAACTAAGCGCCCCTAGTTTTTGGTCAGCGTTTCAGGCTCCAGGTACATACATACATACATACGTACATACGTACATACGTACATACGTACATACATACATACATACATACAGACGTGCATACATATCTATGCACGCCTGCCTGTATGAATGTATAGATGTTTGTCTGTTTGTCTGTCTGTTTGTTGCTTGTGTGTTTGATTGATTGTTTGTTTGTCTGTTTGTCTGTTTGTCTGTTTGTTTGTCTGTTTGTCTGTCTGTCTGTCTGTCTGTCTGTCTGTCTGTCTGTCTGTCTCTGTCTGTCTGTCTGTTTGTCTGTCTGTTTGTTTGTTTGTTTGGTTGCTTCCTTGTTTGTTTGGCACTTCGTTTGTTTTGTGTGAGAGTGTGTGTGTGTGTGTGCGCTTGTGTTTGTCTGCGCTTGTGTTTGTTTGTTTGTTTGCTTGCTTGTTTGTTTGGGCTGCTTGTTTTATGTAGGTATGTATGTATATGTGGGCAGAAAGTACATGAAGACAGAAACCTGCAAATGTATGCTTTTGAACATGAACTGCATGCGTGCATGCAGGTAGAGCACCGCGCAAGGTATGGCACAAATCATCACGCTTTAGAGAGATTAGGTGTCTATGATGTCTATGTCTATGTCGCACCCTGAAACCCAAACCCTCAACCGTAAACCCTAAATCCTAACGACGAAACGAGCTCACTCCTCCAAGACAAAGAAACGGAGGGTTTTCTTCAATGAGCTTCATTCGGGGACTTTCGAAGTTATGCTTTGGGGGCTTCACCATTGGGGTAGTGACCACGATACAGCGAAGGATGGGCGGAAGTAACTTTGCATGGGAACTTGAATGTCTAGACCATCGGATCGTGTAAAAGCGGTTTGCTCTTGGTACTATAGCCATGAGCAGGAGCGTGCACGTGGAAAGTCCTCTGACTGGTAATTTCTGGCCCCTGCCAAACACCTACTTCGAATGTTCAAACACAAGAGGACTTTTGCATAATTGTGGCCGCAAACAACTGCGTCTGAATACCGCCAACATCAAGCCATGAACAACCCTCTGCTCTGGACTCAACGCTCGATGAACCAAACCCCTAAAGCACTGCGGTACTTTGGAGGTGGTGTCCCAGCCGTCCCTTTCTCAGCTCACATGTAGGAATCTGGTTAAGTGAAATGTCCAAAGCTTAGGGACCGACATCAATACGCCTTGAGGTATTGCCCGTTGTCCACACAGATGCTTTTCAGAGAGTCCGACATCTGGTGATCACGTGAAACAGAGACTTCGCCTGGTGCCTACGTCTCGAGCTAGCCGAGCCTTAGACCTACTGTTGATGATATAAATCCTTAGCATTACCCATATATACTAAGGAAGATACCATAATTCCCGTAGTTTAGGGGCCTTAAGGTAATGCANNTGCAGGATTTGTATCAGCAACAGTATCATACAAATGAACACAGAACACAAGCTAGCTAAAGTTGTACTTAGCCCTAGACGCCCTAACTACTCTTCGGCCCTGAACTCCATATCGCTCATCCAGGTCTCCTCGAACCTATTCTTGGAGCCCTTCACACAACTCTGAAACCGTAACAGCCTGAAATCACAACACATCAGCCGATCGAAGGGCTCAGAGGGAAAAGGGCGGCCCCGCACTGCGACTGAAAGCGCCTGGCCATGTAACATAAGCGCCTTTCATGACTAGTCGGGGCTTCAAGGGTATTTTCGTATAGGGAATTATTGTGGGTTGCAATTATACAGGCCTCCCTAAGTCCTAAACTGCAACCCCCCCCCCCGNNCCCCCCCCCCCCCCCCCCCTCCACAATGAACGCTGCGGCTTCATGGGGTTTCGTCGCTCTTGGGATTCAGGGCCTGCACAATCAGGGTGATTGGCAAGTATGGCTAGAAGTTACAAGTTATCAGCAAGGCAACTTTTTTGGAACTGCAGTAAGCCATCTCCGCAGGTTGAGGGCACTTACAAGGGTCACGAACACTGCCATCTGGCATGAAATCAGGAAGGCAACTATCCTCTGATGAAGTGTTCCACATCGCTGACATTATCAACTGCGGCCGGGCAACTGACCAATCCGCGCGGTCAA